CCATAAGTTATTTTAAAAAAGATTTTAAAGCCTCATGTGTTTTCAACATACTTAATATTTACTCTTTTCTTAATTCCTTTCTGTAGAGTCTTTTCCAACTAATATCTCTTCCTGATATCTTTTTTAAAAAATATTTCTTGTAGTGTTGACCTGCTGCTGCTGATAAAATTTTCAACTTTAGTAGTTTCTGAAAAGCCTTTATTTCATCTTCATCTTTGAGAATTATTTTGTGGGTATAAATTCTAGGTTAAGAATTTTTTCTTTTCAATACTCTTAAAATGTTGTTCCACTTGCATCTAACAAGAAATCTGCTGTAATTTTTATCTTTACTTTTCTGTATATATAAAAAAAATCTGTATTTTCCCCCTCTGTCTACTTTTAAGATTTTCTCTTTACAACAGCTTTTGGGTACTTCGGTTTTCATGTGTGTCAGTGCTGTTTTCTTCATGTTTCTTGTGATTTTTTTCATGATTGATTGGTTTATAGATTTTTGCCAAGGTTCATAATTATGCAGCCAATATTTCTTCAAATGTATTTATTTGTCCCTCCTCCTTTGAGCTCTTCAAAGATTATTCAAGAACATTAATGTTCTTGCATTTTCTCATGTATCACTGATGTCCTTTGCATTTTAGAAATTTCCTTTCTACATTTCATTTTGGATAGTTTCTATTATGTATCCACCTTCACCAATCTTTTCTTGTGTGATGTCTAATCCACTTTTAATTGCATTCAGTATATTTTTCACTTGATATTGTATTTTTCATTTTCAGAAATTCTTTTTGGATCTTTTTTCAGTATGTGTTATTCTTCAATTGATCTTTCTGAACAAATGGAATAGATGTTTAATAACTGCTTTTATATCTTTGTCTACTTTTCTAACACCTGTGTCAATTCTTGACAGGTCAATTCATTCAGCATTATAGTTTATATTGTTCTGCTATTTGTTGTAGCCAGAAATCTTTGAGCTAACATCAGATATTGTGGATTTTATCTTGTTAGATGCTGGATAATTTTGTAGCTCTATGAAACAGTGCTCCCTGCCTCAGAATTTGGCTTGATAATAAAAATCTCTGGAGCAGGTATTGCTACTATTATGATTATCATCAATTCACCGGGGAAAACATACTTGGGTTTGGAAATCCTCCAGTCTTGGTTAGAAGGAAGCACTGATCTGGACCTCTGTCTCTAATAAAACCAGTGATACAGAAGAGTCTATTTCTGTTCCTTAATAAGTTAAACAAGTTTCTGTCAAACTAATGGCAACCTGATGAGTCCAGGAAGTCTGGGGATTATGCACACATTAGTTACTTCCATGTCAAAAGACTTATTTACAAATGTCACATTCTTTTCACTTTAGGGTCAGGAAGCCAGATTCTTATTTAAACAATTTCAACCAGGTAAAGCAGCACTTTTTACAAATCTATCAAATTCTGTAATTTATAAATTTCTATAATTTTTCCTAAAGACACAAAAGGTGGTAGGAAGCAGCTGGGGTTGGGGCATAGGCAAACCATTAGGAGATATGACCTAAAGGAAAATTTTCATTCTCATCCCTTTGGTTTCTATTACTTACACTCTTCCATCATTTCTTTCCACTGAGATCCTAGATGCTCCCACTCTGGGTCCAAATAGGTTGATCAAATTGTTATACCAAATAAATTTAACCTTCTGTAATTCCCCAACATCCACATCAGAGTCAATCTCATTGGAATGAGTAGAGCCTGGTTGAAGAGAGCCCCTGGAGTGTTAAGAAGATAATGGAAATTTACGTGAACATAGATAAATATGCACTAAATTAATCATACATGTAAGTATATACTCTTATGTATGATATATATCCACATAAATGTTTCTAAAACCAGCTTAAGATTCATCTATAGTTAAGTTGGTGGATAGAACATATGTCAATCTAATGTACAAAAAATTTCCTTGTGCATTTTAACTCAGGTAGGTTTTTGCCATCAGTAACTCGTATTACTTCTGTCATCTTTAATATAACTTCAAATATGTTTTAGTCACAATCTCTTCATAGTTTAATAAATGGCATCAATTCTATCATCTCTCTCCCCTTGTTTTTGTGGAGAATAATTGTTTATTATAAAGCAGATGTCAGACAACAAACATTAATGGTTTCCTCAGGAAGTATCAGAGAAGAAATTTAGAAACACAATTCTGAAATATATTTAGGTACAAGTCTGAAAAAATACCTTTCTTTATTATATGTGGCAGTACTCTACTCACACAGGGTAAAGAAAAAAATAAGCTCAATAACATACATTGTACATGCACAGTATTCCAACATTTAAGAAGTGTAGAGTAATGTTTCACTCACTTGAAAATCTCAAACTGCTTAGAGTTTCCTCCAGTACCAAACAAAGAAACTAATGCATGTCCTGTAACCTTCTCTCCAGACAGTGTGATAGTTACCTGGTACCGCCAAACTGCACAGGTGGCAAATTTTGCAAAATGTTAGCTTTGAGAGAAGAGATACTGAAAACAGGTTAATTTCCATACCATTACTACAGACTTCTAAATGATTTATACATGATGTTGGTGATACTTCTAGCGAAGTAGTCATAGATATTTCTTTAAATGTTCAGGGGACAAGCATTGGGAAGTAGGTGATATATAGAATCTTTTCAAAGGTAATGGATTTTTTTTTTTTTAGGCCAAAGGCAGAGAAACATATTCGGCTTAAAATTTTCCAACTTAAACATTTATTCTTGAATGTTCTAAGAATTTTATGTTAAAAGGTAATGGGAAAATAGTAGAGTGTGACTTGTTCATCAGGTTGCTTTACTTTTACTGCTCATAAATTTCAGTCCCATCTTTTTGTCTAAATATTTTACATTTATTAAAAAATTCTATAATTCTATATTACATTGTCTCTTGAAATGTACTGATTTAGGTAACCAAAAGAAGGTTCCTTTGGTACTTGTCAATAGAAAACTACCAGTTTTTGTCATTTAGCTCAAGCCTGGAAAAATATGGGATTAGATAAATTTTATCTTTAGTTTTTACAAGACTGTTAACAGAATCTACTGTTGAAGCAATTTTCTTCCTTTATTACACAGAAAAGAAACCTGGAGCCTGTCCTCAAGCCTCACCATTCCCACACCCTCTTACTCCCATTCTCCAAGAGTCTATAGTCCTAAATGTCTCTTGACTCTTTCACCTCCTTTCCATTCCCACCATCCCTGCCACCTCTCCCAGGGATTACTTTTCTACTTGTGCAAAACCTCAGGATTCTACTCAGTGAATCTGTTGACAAAGTACAAAGAGGGTAGAGCAAAGGAAGCCTTCTGAATTCATCACCAAAATTAAATGTGAAGAAGAAACTTATAATTATCTCACTAATAGGCTCCAATTCTGTTCAGCTACCCCAATTAGTTATCGTTATCTTGAGCATGGCATTGAGTATTTTCCCACATTGGGGAGGAGTGTTTAAAACTTTTGTATGGAAAAGCAATTTCATACATTATCAATGGTCATGATAAAATATGTAGTATTGAGAATTTAAAGTTGTGACTAGGGTTGTAGCTCACTGGTAACTCACTGATTTGTCATGTGTAAGACCTTGAGTTTGATGCCCAGCACCAGAAAAAAAAATAATAAAGTTAATAAAGCAGAAACTTACGTGAAAAATTACTCTTATCACCAGTATTTAGATAAAATGTCTGACCCTCTGCTCTTGTTTTCCCAGGATATCTATCAGCATAATGACCCATCTGTGGGCATCCTTCACTTGCACAGGGGAAGCACTTGTTCTGGTGAAAACAAAGAAATGATGAATGAGGTATTATCTCTTTCAATAGTGCATCATCTTCCCCCCTCATATTGTTACAACTCAAATATTCTAAAGCTAATTCTATTCCTGATGGTAAAAGGAGACTTTAGTAATGCCTTAGTGGAGGTTAACAACCCACCTCATTATTCACAAGGATAAATCTGTAATTTTACGGCTAGGTAACAAAATAATATAAAAACTACAACATGAGAGAATTTGTATATATATATAGAGAGAGGTATAGGTATAGACAGACTCCTGTTTATTTACATAGATGTACATAGATACATATTTATGTGTCCTCTTTTGCCTCTTTAAGTTGCCCTGTTTGCTTCAGACATTCATCTTCCTGCATGGTGGATAGAAAGAGAGAACAAGAGGTGATTATCAGCTTTTGCTATGCAAAGTAGGATTCATTAGGAGGGTCACAAGCTCACAAGTCAGGTTTTTCTCAATTCCCTTAACCACTAGCATATCAAGGATTGCTGCCCACTTTTCAGAATCCTCCCCAGGAGAGAAAACAATCCAGGGGGCCATTAAGTATGAAACATGAGGCTGGTGTGTGGAGAAGAGAAAGCATATAGAAAATATCCTTTCTTCCTGGGCTAAGGGATTCTGATAAGAGGGGTTGAGAGGGAAGAATAGAGTTGAGAGGAACAATATCTCAACTCTCATTCTGGAGGGGAAGATTACTCCATAATAAAGGCATCTGATGGCCTTCTGAATCAACCAATGGCCCACATGATGGGCCTGGCAGTCTCCGAGTCAGTATCTGGCAAGGTAGAGGCATATTGAGCCAGCCAGTAAGAAATGGCTAAAAAGCTCTCTAAGGGCATTTCCAAACAAGAATAGACAAGCTCCAGACTTTATCTCTGAAGGTACAAAATGTGCTCATCCATAAGCCAGACAGGAATGCAATCCAAAGACCAAAGGGACCAAGAGCTCCCTGCACCAGTGAACCCACAAGTTATTGCCTCTGCAGAGCACACACTGACCAGATCACCACCAGGATGACCTGGACCAGTACCAGCTTAGAGAGAATCTTAGAAAAGCATCTAAAGGCAGAGAGATCTCAAGATTAAGGCATTTTTGTTACAAAAGTGTTGATTATTTTACTAAAAAGGACTGTTTATATAGTTGAATTAGACTGAACTGCTTAAAACCTAAAAGATTTTTTTGCTGTTGTTTTTTTCTTTATGGAGAGATAAAAATAAAGTTATACAAAAGAAAGAGGGGGGATATATTCACTTCTTACTGGATAATCAACCTGTATATTTACTCCTCTCCCAAAAAAAGCTAGCAATTGTTTAACACCGATTATTACACTTTTAGTTCTGGGCTCAGCAATTAACATATATCAGCTCATTAATTCCTTTTCTGCTACTAATACATAGCTGTGATTTATTATAAGTATGAAATTGCAAACATTCACTGAATGAAGTCACTACAGTGAACAACGACAATCATTAGAAGTGATCATTACAAAATACAAATGGAGGGGCTGGAGATAGAGTTCCGTGGTCCATTGTGTGCTTAGCATGTAGAAGGCCCTGGGTTCAATACCCAGCACTGCAAAAATAAAATAAAATAATTCAAGTGGTAGTTGAAGTCTACTTACTGCAGAGAAAACACTGTAAGAGGAGCAAGAAAAACCAGCAAAGCCAGTAGGGTTGACAATGCTATCAATATAGTACTTGTAGCTTCTTAGGTGATTGCAGGCTGCGAAGTCACGAGTTCCTAGGAAATCAGGAATGATTACACATCAGCAACAGATTTTATTTTTCCAGGTTAACTTTATGATGAGAATATAGGTTGAATAGTTTTCTCTAATTAGCATAAACTCATGAAGGTTACAGTACCAATGATTTGAGACACAACCACAATTTAAGCATTAGTTAAGATTATAACGGTCAATGCCATTGTTAAATAAAATGAAATAATTACTTGGGAAGGGAACTATTGTGCCATGTTAAGGCAACTTAGTAATAGACTCCCTGAATTAAGTCTTTGGAAAGTTGACTAAAAATACAATTTATTTCCTAAAGTTTCATCATGTCTACTTGTCCCAATAACAACCTATATCCAAGGGACGCAATTAAAGCTCCTTTGTTATATAAAATGTGAAACCTGTACAATTCCAAAGTATTCAGTAAGTTTAGCAGCCCAAAACACCAACTTTTCCCAGTGAAAATCTCCTTGTATACATGATGGTTTTACCTTCCCAGATTCCATCAATGTCAACAATCTGAGAGAGAATATTCTTCTGACATCCAGGCATCTCTAGTCCACCATTTGGAAAGAAATCTAGGTGACCTGAAATTTGGCTCATACCAAATCCTGAAGAATTTTAAAAACAATGAAAGGTTTGTTACTGTACAGACTCAAGACCCTCTAAAACACTCTTAAATTGTAGACTCAAAATCCTTTAGGAGGACCAGTTGTGAACTCACCTAAATTAGGGATTATTGGGGCCGCATCTGTATGAATTACATCTACAAATTGAGCATCACTGGGGTCCAAGCGTATAAGCTCAGGTGTACCCTCAAAGCAAGGCTCAGCAGGATCCAACCCTAAAGCAAATACGATGTCATTAATGATGTCCTTGTTCACCCATAAGTCACCTGCCTTCATTAGTTACAGACTTGAGTGCAGGTGCTGGCTGCACCGTGAATTACACAAAGAGATAAATAATTTCTTCCTCACTTTATCATTTTCTGAAGGGAAAGCTGGTTTTACTTTGCTGTTTGCTCAAAATTGAATTTTCCCAGTCCACAGAAGTTGCCTCTGCTCATTGTTGCTTAGTCCCTGGGAGAATCTTGGTCACTAGCAGCAGTTACCGGACAAGAGGTAGACCTTGAAAGACACTGGACTAAATGCTGCTCAGGATAAAAGAGTTCCCACTACATCATAATCTTCCAGGAGGGCCAAGACCTTGACTTTCCTGGTCACTGAGTCCAAAACCTGGCATGACAAAGCACCTGACTGAGCAGGCTGTGGTTAACATTGTAGACTATGGGAAAGAACATTCTGGAAAAACAGATAGAAATTCCAGATCAATCTAAATGCAACTAACTTATCTAGAGCATTAAAAAGAACATCTCCAAGTCAACACAGAAAATCAGAAGATGGAAGTGGAAAGTGGTTATCCCCAAAATAGGCATGTCTCCAATCCAAGATACCAGCACCTTGTCATAAGGTTATGAGGTACTTTGTAGGACATGGTTACCCAACATGTGATCCCAGTGGCCAATAAGGCACTCTATGATGTGCACAACGGCATTGAAAACCCGATTAGCAACACCCAGGACAGAACTGGCAGCCCAGGGCAAACTGATAGTCTTTCCCCTCCTCCCAGCTCTGGGACTGATGAAATTTGATCTTATTAGCAACTGTTTTTGAAGAAGAGTATAATTAATTACCACATTTAAGCTCTGTAGGTTAAATTCTAATTACTCTGTTATTTATGATATTTTCCATGAAAGTTACACATTGTGAATACTTACCTAAAAATGGAGAAATAGCTACAGTGGTTCTGGATGTTCTTAATTCACATTTTAGTTACATGTAATATATTTAAATGCCAAATGGTGTGGTGAAGACCACAAGATTGATAGCATTTAAAAATCTACCAGGCCACAGAACATTGATTTCTGATCATATGGCACAATTCAGAAACTGTGACAAGGTGTGAGGCTGTACCAGATTTCAATCCTGTATTTTCTCTTGGATTCCATAGAGGCTAAAATTGCAGTTTTTAATGTTTTAGCCAACCTGTGATTCGTCCAATAGCTCCTTCGGTCCTTCTTCCAGCCTCCCCAGCAATGTGAGAACCAAGGCTGTGACCAATGAGGTGGACATTGGAAGGTGAGTATTCGAATTGAGACTGTTGGAAAGAAAGACTCATCAAAATGTTTTCAAATATTGTACAATTCCAGATAGGCACTGAAGAGGGACCTCAGAACCTTGAGTTTTAAGAAGACATACTGCCCTCTCAGAGCAATTAATTTTCATAGTTAAGTTGAAAAAATGGAAATAGCTTTAACTTGTAAACCACAGATCTTAAGTTCTAAGATTTTGGTTACCCAACCGGATTGTCATTAGGCTTCTCTTCAAAAACAAACAAAACCAAAAATTAATTTAACCTTGAGGTTAATACTGTCATGTCAACTTGGCAATGATTGGTAAAATTAAAACAAACACTGAAGAGCTTGGGCTATAGATAGGGATGTAGCTCAATGGTTGAGTGCTTGCTTAGTGTGAACAAAGCCCTCTTTTGGATCCTCAGTACCACCAGAAGAAGGAGGAGGAGAAAAAAGAGGAGGAGAAAGAGGAGGAGGAAAAGCAGAGGAGGAGGAAGAAAAGGAGGGAAGTACTGATAGAATTAAGAAGATACCCACCTATTTGGTTGCTTGAGTAAGTTCATTTAATTAAAAATAAAAACTAGTTTATTTACTAAGCTAGGTTATTGATGAAGCCCAAATCTAGATTTTTTTTTCATTTTTTAAATCAAGGGGAAAGCCTTATCTCTGTATAGGAATATCTTTATCAATATCATATTTACAGATTAGAATCCAAAAAAGCAACATGTATGGATTTTATATAACTTGGAAGGTGCTACCTGAAGGAAGTCAACCAAATATGCCACTTCTGCTCCCACAATCCGGGTGTTCTGTGAGGCCTGGGTATATCCAGTTCGGGAGCCACCTTTCCAGTCCACACAGATACAGTTCACACTTTCCACTTTAAACAAGTTCTGATGGAAGAGACAAAATAAATAGGTAAATAATTCAAGATTTTTGTTTATTATCAAGGAATACATTTGAAGAGTAAGATAAATTCCCTCCCTGACCTGCTCAGTATTATGTCACTTTTAACCCCACCACTATGAACAAAACACTTGAGGCTACAATGGGTATGAAATCCCTCCTAAAGTTTACTGGAAGTGTGACCATTCTGGGAACTGGATTCTTGGAATTTCTTCAAGAGATGCAGCACACACAAGGGAGATATGAGGATAGGTAAGACACCTAAAAAATTAGCTAGCATTTGTTGCCCTCAATGCCGAGAAACTAAAGCAGATACCTTAAAAGCAACTGAGGCCAACAGGAGAAGGGGACCAGGAACTAGAGAAAAGGTTAGATTAAAAAAGAATTAACCTAGAAGGTAACACCCACGCACAGGAAATCAATGTGAGTCAATGCCCTGTATAGCTATCCTTATCTCAACCAGCAAAACCCCTTGTTCCTTCCTATTATTGCTTGTACTCTCTTCAACAAAATTAGAGATAAGGGCAAAATAGTTTCTGCCAGATATCGAGGGGGTGGGGGGCAGAGGGAGGGGGCAGAGTGGGTGGTAAGGGAAGGGGTGGGGGCAGGGGGGAGAAATGACCCAAGCATTGTATGCACATATGAATAATAAAAAAATAAATAAAAAATTTTAAAAAAAGAGATGCAGCAGTTAGTCATCTCCCTAGAACATCATAACTGCTATAAGACTACCTTGCCCCTTTCTAGAATGCACTAGGACATTGCCTGTCTCTTTCACTGCTCTGTTCTCAGTGTCAAGAACACTTTCAAGCACAAAGTAAGAGCTCAATAAAAATTTGATGGATGAATGAAAGACTATGTTAGTATCTCTTACACATGAAAATATATTGAAGTTTAAAGGAGTAAGATTTTCTATGATGAAAAGTCTAATCAAAGTCTCTGGGTGAGCCACGCACTAGTGGCTTATACCTATAACCTTACCTACTTGAAAAGCTGAGATCAGGAGGCTCATGGTTCAAAGCTAGCCTGAGCAAACAAAGCGAGATCTTAGCTTAACAATAACCATAGGAAAAACAGCTGGAGGTAAGAATCAAGTGGTAGAGCACTCGCCTAGCATGTGCGAAGCCATGAGTTCAAACCCTGGTACAGCAAATAATAATGATAATAATAATAATAATAAAAGAAAAGCATATTTGTATGAGCATTTTTATTGCATATCACTGAAGTTATTTCACATAAAACAATAGTCTACCAGAAATCTATTGACAACCCGGTTTGGTAGGGCTCAAATAAGATTTTAAGAATGGTAGTTCTGGCAGGAATCATTTGTTTGAGTATGTCTTTTACATATTCCCATCTTTTTTCCCTAAAAATAATGAATAATGAAAAAAATAAGAATAATGATGCAATCATAGAAATCTCCAATTTTTCCTATTACAAAAGGAAAAAATCCAAAGAATGGAAATGATTGTTCTAAGTAAGCCAAAGTGAATCAATTTGCCTGTTTTGAGATGGCAGCAAAATTGTGTACAGGGCCTAACACTTCTAACATCTTAGGATTTAAGTTGGCCAATGTGATGATTAGTTAGGAACAGATCAGGGCTGAAACACAGGACCTTCAGTGTTCTTGTTTAATCCACTTATTTCTCCATCACCACACACTAGTGTTGTCAGAGACAAGTAAAATGCACATAAAATACACATGCTTTTGGAATCTGAGAAATAAATTCTAGACATATCTTGGAAAATCTATATTCCCATTGAGCTAAAAAATCATGTTTTTCTAACCTGTTATATAGAAAGCTATTATTATCCTCACCACCCAAAATAACCATGAAACTTAAAGTACATTGGAGGACAAGAAATATTTTACAAATATTTCTAAACCTGTGAAGGGAATGGACTAAACTGCACATCTGTCATCAGGATCAACCCATGTCCTCTGGAATTGACTCAGTTCTGTCTTTGGCTAGAGTCAAACACGGCAGAAATTACTGGATTTAGGACATGACACCCCCCCCTCCAAATGAGTACAGTTTTGTCACATGGCTGCCACAGAAATTTCATGAAAACTTGAATAAATACACAGACAAATGAATTGATAATAATGTTTTTCAAGCCCCAGCAGTTATTAGGAACATTTATTCTATTTGATTTTCTGTCTTTTAAATCTTTATTATCACTGGGAATAGAGCTAAAGGCAAATTAGAGAAAGTAGGATCACTTCTGTAGGAACAACAGAAGCTGGAAATGAAAACCATTTGGTGTTCCTAGACCTTGCTACCAGAGGAGATGAGAGTATCAAGTGAAAATCTAAGGGAAGAGTTCCTTTGGGTAAATGGGATCTCTTGGCTCTTCCCCTGGGAAGTAAAGCTAATGGACAAAGGGGCAGGATCAGCTGGGATGACATTGGTATGCCAATGTTTTGAAAAGTCTTTATGTTAGGTTTTAAATAACCACTGCCTGTAGCTCCCAAATACTTGCCAACCTCACTGTCCTGACTGACCCAGGACCCTTGCACCCACCACTACCAACTCTTGGACTCCCTGGAAACCCCGGGATCAGCAGTGGTCAGAGGGTTCTCCAGTGTAGTGGTGACCAGCATTCATCATCCATATTGGAACCAGTGCTTTACTGGTTGCCAGTTATCATTCCTGAGACTACCTTCCCTCTGGAGATTACCAGGGCTCACCTTGCACATATCGGCCAGCCAATTTTCTTCTCCTTTGTCTATGAATCCATGAATAATAAAGCGGGTCATCCTATTTGTTTGGAAATTGGAGCTCCTGATGTTGGATGCATCTGCAGTGATAGTCTGTATGGGGAAGAAAAGTGTTTTAGGTCAAGTTTCTTGTAGTATACCCTAGGGTAATTACTATGTGGTAGGAGGTGGGAGGTAGGTGAAAACCAGTGGGATTCAGGATCATTGTGAGTAAGTGTTCTCCCATCTCAGCCAAGTTGTTCACAGCCATTCTCATGTTGCAACTTTTCAGTCATCACGAAATTTTTGTAGTTGTTCAACTCAAATAATGTGTTTGTTATAGTATTTGTCATTAATATCTTTTCTTCCTAGATGAAAGTCTTCTTATATGTATGTATCTATTTATGTGTGTAATCTAATCTATCTATTCAAAATTGTGAGATATATATGTATACAGATGTTCCTATAGTTATGATGGCACTAACACCCACAAACTCAGTATAATTTGAGAGTACCCTGAAAGCACCTAAACTGCTGAACACCATAGCTTATCAACACAGTACACTGTAGTCAGTTGTCTACGCTCCTGATTGGTGGCTAACTGGGAGTTACAGTTTACTACTGCTGCTTAGTGAGAGTGTAATTCAGCATATTGCTAAGCCAGAAAAGATCAAGACTTAAACTTGAAAGGTGGTTCTCCTGAATACATATCACTTTTCTACCACTTCAAGTTCAAAACACTATTAATTCAAGCCATTTTAAGTAGGGACCCTCTGTGTAAATACATTATAGTAGGAGAATTTATATATCATTCATCTTTCTGTATGTATATGCATATATGCATATGTATGTCCTCATATATAATATTATATATTATATTACATTATCATATTATATATTATGTATATTACATATGACATAATTATATATAATATATAATATAATATATATAAATAATATTTTTAAGTGATACCATGGAGATAGAACAAGAATAATATGAAATTAATAGACCTTTTATAAATAAGATACATAAAGAATACTTAAGCTTACTGCCCTTAAAAAAATCTATGAAGAAAAGATTCCACTGTCTAATTTGTTCTCTTTAGAAGACTTGAATATTCAGTATACTAATTACATAAGACAGATTGAACTAAGTCCTGAAAGTAATGAATATTCTTACTTGATAGTTGTCTTGGTTCTCGTTGGTGTACAAGAGGAAGCGGGTGTTGACATCTGATGGACTCCAGGGTAGGATTTTCAGAGGTCTTTCAATAATTCCTGCCCATGGAGCATCATCACTGAAGCAGCCTAGCCTTTCATAGCAGACTTCTTTTCCTGAAAACACCCAGAAATGGTTCAAGGATATTAGTTTAACCAGAATACTCTTTGTCCAAATATGAGGTAAATTATATCTTAGGAAGATTTTCTTCCTCTACTTTCCCAGATACCCTCCTACTGACCCTCACAAAACTGCTTCAAAGGGCAATGCCTCCATTACAGACAGGGTGCTGCTCCTCACTTCTACCTCAGGGACTACCTCACTCCCCTTATGTCTCTGCTCAGCACAGTCAGGGACTCATTTTTAGCTTCTCAACCCAAATGTTTTCTTTGGGCCATTGTTGCCCAGGAATGTAGCAGTTCTATGTGGCAGTCCTTGGTGGTGGTGGGGGTGTGTGGAGGCTCTTAACTCCTAGTAGCTGCCATCTTGTTTTGTGCTTTGGGTAGAGAGGTTAAGTTTTTAATGCAGTCTCTACATTGGTTGAGCATGTAAGGGTCTGTCTAACCTGTGTTTCAGGACCATGCTAGATTCCTGTGATAAAGAAGGTACTCACAAAAAAAGTCAAACAAGATACCCCTGATTTGACACAACTGCAGGCGCCAAATCAGCATAAAAGAACAACTCAAAGGAAGGTTATGGAGCAGGCTAAAGCCCAGCTTAACAGTAGAGTAAGAGTTGCATCTATTTTGGGGTCAGATACTGATCTAAATCTTACTATGTGCCAGGTACTGGGCAAGATGGTTTCCTTATCTTCCCTAATCCACAAAGTCATCCCTAAGACAGGGATACCATTATCTGCATTTTAAAGAACAAAGATCCTGAGGCATAAAGGGGTTAGGATTTTGTTCAGGGTCATAGAAGGATTCAACCTTTCCTTTGACCCAAGCTAGAAGTGCTAGGATGAGAAAAAAAATTCAAGATAAATTTGAACTTTAGAAAAACAGTATTATTTTAGTATAATTTCATAGTTCATCTGAAATTCAAATTGAACTGGGCATCACAGATTTTACGTGGCAACTGGACCCAAGCCCTGTGCTCTTACTCTTGCATCTTCCTTACTTTCCTCCTCCTCCTCCCTCCTCCTCCTCTCCTCCTCCTCTTCCACCTCCTCCTCCTCCTCCTCTTCCTTCTCCTCCTCATGGCTTGAATTCAGGCATTACAGCCTTCTGGAAGGCACTGAACAGTGAATCTTCTACATCTCCAAATAAATATCTTGTCTTACCTGCTACTGCTCCCAGCAGCAGTGAAAGTATCCACAGCAGCAGCATCTACATAAAGGTAAAAGCATGACTGAGTCTGGTGAAGCTAAGCTTTTAAAAGACTGGCATAATCCTCCAAGTTCATTTTGACCTCTGGGGAAAATGGGTGAATTCTAACAAATTTGCCTGAAAAACATGTTCCTGACTCACCGTGGCAGATCCGTCAGGTTCCCAGACAAGCAGACACTACTCAAAGGTCCTTTTATAGGCGAACCTTATCTTTTTGAGCAGTACCATGGAAAAGTGGCATGAAAAGAGAGAAGGTGCCAAGGACATAATTCTAATTTTAATCACAGATAAGCCTAGAATGATAGAGTAGCTAAGGTTTTCCAAGAAGCTCGTGGGAAGATGAGAAAGTGGTAGATATGGAAAGTTCTCTTCCAGTGCTCTTACATAATGCTCAGAATCACTGTTCTTTTGTTGCAGGGAAGGCTTTTGTCTCCCTCCTTAGCTTACAGTACTCTGTGCAAGTCTGCTGGCATGTGGAGCCCAATTGTTTTTACAGATTTCACAATAACCATCTTGAACGTGAATACAGAGACTTAATAGTTCATGCACTTTTTCTATAATCTTGCTTTCCCCTCAAACAGTTAAGCAATCCTTCAAGAGAGCGCCTTCCTTCTAGAAAAGCAGCTGCTGTTTTATGGGCTCACAGTATTAACATTTCTCAACAACATTATCGAAGAAAGAATAAACAAGGGAACATAAGGAATTGGAGAGCCTGAATGGTAGCTCACACTTACTATCTCAGCTCTGGAAAGGTGGATATAGGAGGATTGCAAGTTCAAGGCCAGTCTGGTCTACATAGGGAAACACTCTGTCAGAACAAGGTAAACAAAGAATAACAAAAGAAGAATTAGATGAAGAAGAAAAGGAAGAAGAGGAGGAGGAGGCAGAGGAGGGGGAGGAGAAGGGGGAGGAGAAGGGGGGAGAGAGGAACTGGTGATACAAATGAGAGTGCAGTGGTAAGTCAGTGACCCCTGCCATCAGATGAAATTATGAATGAGAGAAAAATAAATTCAACTTAGAAAATAATGGTCTATGAAAAGTATACTGAAAGAGAAGTGTTTGAAAGAAAACAATTAAGATGCTTGTATTTTGTGGTAGATGGCTTAAAATGAATTTTTAAAAGCTGGATTGTCAAATTATCATCAAATTATGGAGTACCATAATCTCAAGGAGCCAGAATCATTTAGCTTGGTGGTGTCATAAATTTAGATTGAATCAAATGAAATTGCTACATTTGTAGGTCAAAATTGTTCAGATAATTATTCAGTCTCCTGACAAAATTAAAGGTACAGAAAAAGGCAATAAAACTTTTTTTATATGTTCAGAAAAAGTTTAAGAATAATGGGTAAAAGAGATGCTAAGATAAGGATTGAAGGTACAGGACTGAGCTCCATGGATGGGGGCCCTGGCAAATTCCCACTAGATCCTTCTTCTTTCAGCCTTAGCACTCCCTCATTTGAGCCCCATCACATTCAGTTCCAGGCCATAAACTGAGAAAGGTTTGGAATTCTCTGTGCCTCCTTGTCACAACTATCTGGCTCAGTGCTTGGTGCACAGCAGGCCCTGAACAGCCTCTATTGAATGAATGAATGGGCAAGCAATGGGAAATAAACATGAAAACCAATTTATTTTGCACATATGCTATAGTAATAATGCCTATATAATCTCTCAGCAAAAAATGGGAAGCCTCTTTTACTCAATTAAGCAAAACACAGAACAAATAAATGAGAAAAGAAACAAAAACCCTCTTTAGGCCTCAAGAACAGAAGAATTGTATCTCTATATTATTTATTCATGGTAATCATATATCGAACCTACAGTTTAGATTTTCTTTTTTTTAATTTTTAAAATTTTTTTTAAAAATTAAAAAAAAAATTTTAATTCATTTATTCACACTAGATTTTCTTTTTTTGAGGGATTAAGGATTGAACTCAGAGCCTTATGCTTGCTAGGAAGTTGCTCTACCATTTAATTAATGTCACCAGTCCTTTTTGCTTCAGTTTTTTTGGGGATAGGATCACATTTATGTCTATGCTAGCTGGATTGTGATCCTTCTATTTTTGCTTTCCCTGTAGCTGGGATGACAGGCACATGCCACCACACCCAGGCTGACTTGGACCAGGATCTTCCTATCTCCCAGCATTGTTGGGCTGGCAGGTACATGCCACTGTACACAGCTGTTTTTCCATTGAGATAGGGTCTTGTGAATGTTTCTTGCCTTGGCTGACCCAGAACTATGATCCTCCGCTCCACTAGTCAGCGCCTCACCACACCATTATCTAAATACCCTCCTCGAACGCCGAATATGCCCACACATTAGAGGCCCCACCAAATTTGGGCCTGCACGCACCACGGGCACACGGAACCCACCAATATAAGATTAGCATTAGCTCAGTTCTCAACTTAGCTAGGATACAGTGTGAGTACCACCCAGAGTTGGCTCAATCTCAATTAAGCTTTTAGCCTGAGTGTTGAACTCCTTAGTCACCCATATGTGTTTTTTCAGCCCACCTCAACTGCAGTCTGGGATGTTCCTGATTAGATGGATGTTCGAGGCGACATCTGCTTGACTTCTCCTATAGGAATAAGATTCAGACTCTATTCCCCAATTACCCTTGTGGGGAGATGAACCACATGCCCACTTCTGGCCATTTCATGATTGTGCACAAGTTCCAGTCCTGTTCCTAAAAACCCACACCTGGTCCTCCATGCACTTATTTTCTGTGTCTTAATGCAGTTAAGCAGAGTGACCTGAAAGTCATGTGCTGAAGCTAGTAGAAGGCCAAGGGGAAAGGAGCCTGAGTTCCCTGCTAGGAAGAAAGCCACCCAAATGTCACAGATATCAGTTTCCATTATATAGAAGCAAGAAATATACTCCTATTATTGCAAACCATGGAGAGAAAAGTTAGCATTACCTTAACAAAGAGATTTCTTGGCTGTGTATTCTTTCTCTGACTTCCATGGACTCTTTGGGTCCCAAACATTCAGTGCTGGACTGTACAATTCAACATGATATTTGGATAAGCCTCATGCATAACACCAATACTTCCACAGATTTCTCCCCTCCCAATACTTGATCCTTAAATCCCCATTCCTACCACTTCTCAAATTATTTAAAAAAAAAAAACTGATCAACTCTTCACCCCATTATGGTGGAATTTTAATTTAATGGACAGTTTTTAGTTCAATACCTCATAGGGACCATTGTTTCATAGACAATGTGGATCCATGTGTTCCCCAAGGTTTAGTGAAAATTAAGTCTCACAGCTTCAATTAATATGGAACTTGAAGCAGCTCAATGTTGTCATACATAGGACACTCAGACACCAGTGGTTGGCTGCAATTACCACAAAAACCCTGCTTTCCACCATCTCTAGTGGTTGTTCCTCATTTCTCAGGATAGTAGGCTCAAAGGTCAGCCTTGTAAAGAGTGACAGAGCCATGGCAGATCCCCCCGCCCCCTCCACCCAGTTAGGTTTTGACATTGAAAGCTGTGGGTTTCCATTGAAAAATAATTCCACCTTTCCTGCGTTCAACAGTAAGGTAACATAGACTCAACTTTGACTCAGAAACATTTGACATTTAAAAACAAAAATGTCTGACATGAAAGTTTCTAATCAGCTACCTATATTTGCAGAGGAGATAAGTCTTCACTTATGTAATGCTCTGAACCTGGCAGCCTTGTGATACCAAAATCCAGGTGAAGGAAAGAAAAGGCAACAGAACACCTGTGTGGCCAGATAACTAGCATGTTAGCCAAATGGGGTCTAACTTAGCCTTCAGAGAGAGCCTGTCCTGTCTTCCTCTTATCTAGCTTGGCCCCTGCCAGGGCTGTCCTGGGAATGAGGACACGCTGGCCTATGATCCAAGTTCCCTGGGCAGAAAATACTGTGATGATGGGTTTACTAGCACTTTGCACCTTCTAGAACAACCATCTCGCCAAGTGTGTGGGGCAGAGGTACCCAGACTCCACTCTTTAATTTGTGAAAGAAAAAAAAAAACCACTTAAATTTTATAGCATTGATTATTTAAGTTTCCAAACATTTGCTGTATTTGTATACAAATACATGGAACCTGTGAAAGGTTTCATTCGTTTCCTTCTGAAGACAGTGGAGCTCAGATTATCTCAACAACCTGCCCAGGGACAACGCAGTTGGTAAGCTTCAGAGTTTAGTCTAGAGACAGAGGTTCTTTCCACTAGACTCAACTCACCTGTTTGTGTCAATACACAATATTCTTCCAGGCTGCATTAGTCTAGAACTGATACAAAAAGTGGTCAAGAATGAGTACAGAGGAGTTATTAGTATGGGTATATAGACACCTGTTTATGGCTGGATATTTGTTTTCCAATAAAAATAACACATATGTTTTTGTGTCATTTTGCCATTTTTTGGTCATTTTTTTCTTTCCTATCACAATTGCAGCAAATGCAATTTTATGAAATGATCAATATAACCTCTGTGATATATTGAGGAACCCTTGGGGTTGCCTCATTGTCCTCTCTTTCTTTCTGAGGTTTCTAATTTCTTGGACTTAGCTTCCAAGAAGCTTCCAACTAGCCCACTCCTGAAACATAACCCCAGTAATTACCCTAATATTACTCATCTCACTCCTATCACTTGGAGGACTCCTACCACTACCGGGATTCCTACCAAAATGAATCATCATTAATGAATTAACAAAAAAGAACCTAATCCTTATACCTACAATTATAGCCATACTAGCCCTACTAAACCTCTCCTTCTACATACGATTAATCTACTCAACAACGCTGACCCTATTTCCAATCACAAATACCACAAAAATAAAATGACACCATCCTAACAACAAACCCTCAATTCTTTTGCCCCCACTTTTCATTATTACAACTGAGAGGGACTAAACTCTGTTATGACAGACAAAACTATAACCCCCTCCCATCTTTGGTATAGATAAGGTGAACAAAGCAGCAGGACATGACTCAGACACAATTGCAGGGGAAACGTGCAGGATGTGAGCTA